TATTATATTATAATTAGATTAAAAGTTAAATAAGATATTATTCTAGAAGCTTTATAATAGTATGCTCTATTATAAGGATAAGCTTTATATATCTAATTAGTATTATCTACAGTTATAGATCCTTATAAAAATATATAATAATCCCTATAGTAGGTACTTAATATATAAGAGGACCTTAGAGCTAGTAAAGTAAAGGGTTTAGTAGCTATTAATATCTAATTTTATATATTAATACTATAAGGTATGCAGAGTATACTAAGGATTATAAATAATCTATAAAAAGTAGTAAAGATTACTTTAATCTTTATTAGTACTATATAAGATATAGAAATAAATTAGTTTAGACTTTATTACTAATCTACCTATAAGTATTTATATAGGGGATTCCTTATAGGAGGTGTTTAATACTATCCTAGTTATTATTAATAGGATAAGTAAGATAGCATATTTTATACCTATATAGAAGAATATATTTAGTAAGGAACTAATATATATAATAATCTATAAGATAGTATACCTACATAGGATATTTATAAGTATTATAATAGTGGAATTACCGAGGGTAAGGTAGTATCACCAGGGGTGAAGAGAGATAGGCTGGGCTAATGCCTCTTTACTTACCTGGGGTAAGATCTTCTATTTATACCTAGCTACTGGCTATCTATCTAAAGATAAGTTATAGATATTACTAAGATTTCTTAGATTAACCTTAGTAACTTAGAGTTAACCTTAATAATCATTAATCTACTCATGATATTTGTTCACTAATATCATAATAGACTAAGGATTAGTCTTTATAAAGGGGTTCTAGTCTAAGATAATATACTATTTATATATTAAGTATATATTAAGTACTACCTATTATCTATAGACTAATAACTAAATAAAGCAGCTAAATAGTATGCTTAAGTAATATCTATAGAAGTATATAAACTTTAAATATAATAACTAGATAGACTACCTACCTATTATAGAGTTTATATATAATAGTATATATTAGTTATCTATCTAGAATACCCTATTCTATATAATTATACAAGTAGATTTATAGGTAATAGCCCTAAATACTTAAAGAGGGGATAATATTACCCCTAGCTTATATAAGTATATAGAGTATCTATAAAGGATAAGACTAAAAGCTATAAGTAGGATTAAGAAAGCCTAGGAGTACTAGTAGAGATATTATAATTAAAAGAGAGTTATAGAGAACTTCTAGATTAATAATAAAGTCTAGGTTAGTACTAAGAACTAGTAATAGACTAATTTATTAAGGATAGTAGAATAAATAGGAATAAATATCTACTACATAGAACTCTTTATAGGTCTAAAGATTTATAATATCTTTTATATTTTTATACTATAAAGATATAAGGAAATAAAGGGTATAGACTCTATAAAGTACTTTTTAGTAAGGCTTATAGAGGAGGAGATCTATAAGTACTATCTAGAGAAGATCTTAAACTTATATAATAATAGTAGATTAAGGGAACTACTAATCTAGTAAAAAGGATAGGGATCTAAGGGAGATACCTAGGAACCTATAGTAGGCCTATAATATATAGATATCTATAAGGAATATACTTTATAAGTAGGGAGAACTTTAGCTTAATTAAAATAAAAGAGAAAGTAATACTTATAATAGATATAGACCTATATTATTATACTAAGGCCTTAGGTGCCTTATATATTATATAATCTTAGTTTAGTAAGTATATAGATTATAAGAGAAGATATCTATACTAGAGAGTAAGACTATTATTAAGAGAAGATATCTTAACTTATTAGTAAGTAGACTCCTATATAATATAAATAGTTATTATACTTCTGCCTAATACCCCTAGAAATATACTATATAAAGGATAGGATATCTAAAGACTATCCTACTATTACTTAGTAGTACTATATATACTTATAACTATAGGATAGGTAGTAACTAATATAAGTTATAAGGATAGCCTTATAATACTATATATAGATTACTAATCTTAAGCTAGGAGTAAATCTATAGTAGTAAATATATCTTAAGACTAGTAGGAATACCTATTAATATTTATAGCTAGACAGGGGCTTAGTGCCTATCTATAAGATAAGACCTAGAAGTATAATAGGTATCTATATAGTCCTGGGGTTAAACTATATATTAAGTAAATATTTAATAAAGTAAGTATAAGCCTACTCCTTAATTATTATAGCTACTAGAGATAGTATATCCTAAGCTATCTATATAAGTAAGCTATTTAGGATAGAAGGAGGATTAATAATAAATTAATCCTCTAACTAGAATAATTAGTATATAGCTATAAAGAGTAGTTATAAGGTAGCTTATCTAGTTTACTAGCTAAGGGACTACCTATATTAGAGTTATAGAACCTTAATATAGGGGCTAAATAAGGGGGGGGGAGGAACCTAGACCTAGGATTTAGTAGAGGCTAAAGAAGTAGCTACTACTATTACTAGGGGGAGAGGGACCCTATAATCTATAGGCTAAGTAAGAAAAAAAAATGATATTAATAGAGATAGATATAATATTCTATATCTATAAAATCTATAAGTTAATTAAAGTTAATTTAGTAAAAGAGAAGTATATAGAGGTTTATTTATCTATCTATAAGCTATAGAAATAATCTATAGATAAGAATATTATATAAGATAAGCTTATGATAATACTCTGCTTAAAAGATCCTACTATAATTAAGGGGTAAGAGAGGAACTACTTATAGGTAACTTAGATTATTATCTATAGATATAGAGATATTATATAAGGAGATAGTCATCCCTACTTATAAATAGAGGAATAAAGATACTTAAAATAAGAGAAAGATAGATAGAATCTACTTATCTTTAATAATAGATAATAAATAATAGATGGTGGATAATAGATAATAACTTAAGAAGAGAAGAAAAGAAGATTATAAGAAGCTAGAAGTATTATTTTTTAAGAGAGGGGTATATAACTATCTTAACTAGCTATTTATATAATAGAAATAGGCTATAAGGTCTTTAACTTTAGGCCTTTATAAGTAATAAGAGAATTTTTTTCCTATATTAGTTATAATTTTTACTTTTATAGAGAGGTTTTTAGGCTTTTATATAGTTTTTTAATAGCTATACTATATAGAGGAGGCTTATAGGTCAGGAAGACTATAAGGCACTAAATACTAATTATAAAGGTTGCATCTATAAAGGCCTTAAGGGACTAAGGCCTATAGGAGGGGGGGGTAGTTATAAGGCCTCCTAATAGTATAATAAAGATATCTATTATACCTATATAAGAGTATCTCTTAGTCAGCCCTTACTAAGTAGTAGGTTAGGAATTCTCCCTTACAGAGGAAGAATCCTAACCTAGCATTAATCTACTTAATTATCTAAATTCTTGAAATCCAAGCTACATAGTATCTATTCTTTCACACTAGTCATATTCCACATACGAAAACTAGTGTTCTCACAGTTAGATACTAAGCTAGAGATCTCTTAATTAGTATAGCTATATTACCTATTTATATCTTTAGTAATTCCTAAAGTCTAATATTTTAATTAAATTTATATTATTTAAATTTAAAATTTTTTTACTTCTTTAATAAAAGATCTAAAAAGACTCTTACTAATCTATATCCTTTCTTTAAGTTAAAGTTCTTATATTTAGGTATCTCTAGCTTTATTAACTTATTAATTTTATCTAGATTAATATATACCTAGATTCTCTTCTAATAAGCTATTATTTATATAATATCTTTCTAGATTTTTTATTCCTTCTAGCTAGTAAGTATAGTCCTAATCCTTATAGTTAGTATATTTTAAGATATATTATTTATTCTTTTATTAGCTACCTCTCTATAGCTTATATTACTTCCTTATTAATTTTTAGATTATCTTCATTCTTCTTTTTATTAGCCCTAGTAGATCTCTTACTAATTTAATATCTTTATACTATCTTATTAACTAGGCTTATAATTATTATAGCTATATAATTAGGGTAATATAAATACTAATAGATATAGATATATAACTTAAATATAGAGGTATATCCTCCTCTTATTTACCTACCCCCCCTCTTCTCTAGTAGATATAACTAAGTAGATAAATATACTAGTTAGTATGCATTACACCAGGCCTATTTAGGCATAGTAAGTGAGTGTACCACTAGTATAGTGAATACTACTCTACAACAAAGGGCTTAGGGGTTTGCGGTGGTGAGAATTCAACTGATCTCGCGAGTAAGCTTAAGTACTTCAACCCAATCAGGCTGAATTGGGTAGATTTCGGCTTTTCAAAGGGCCTAAAAACCCTTCCTAGATTAGGATTAGGCGAATGAGGTGGCTAGGTCATAACCTCGCTCTCTATTTCTTATATTATATTGCGTATAACGTATGTAGCATGCGTAGGTGTATGATCATGCACAAAAATCCTATCTTCGGGAAGTAATAAGGAAGATGTGACCCAGAGTGAGGGACACTTTATCTATATATACCGTGACAGTTGAATTATTCCCATGGTGTTACAACTCAGGTACGAGGAAGTATTATCAGTAAGTGGTAGCATTCAACGAGATAACTAGGTAAGCACGAGGAAGGAGGGAAGCTGGGAAGCATGTAGGCTAAATACACGAACGTAGGTACTCATGATTATCAAGTCCAATGAAGCGTATTCCAGTACTCCTTCTGAGGAATATCCCTCCCAGTCACCATGTCCCTAGCATGAAGTCCAATTTTGGTGATAGTTCCATTGTTCGCCCTCATCGCCTTCAAGTCCATATCGAAGCAACCCGTCGGAACACCCTCCGAGCACAATGGCCATAGCTCCCCAGCGCACATGTTGCAGAACAAGCCTTCCTTGGTTGATACAAAATCCGGCCCTGCTGCAAAGGGACTCTTGCACAGCTCACTGGCTGTGTGGGCTTCATATTCACTTACTACTACAACCTGCTGTTCAGCAAAGCAAACCCGGTCGTTCTGTCTAGCATTAACAGATCTTTTTTTAACACCATATGTCAGCTGTGAAAATCACCCCCCAGTCCACTTTTTGAGCTGCAGGATCTGCTTCGCGGTGGGCTTCTCATTCAGACTGGGGCTGCACATTACCTGTCTAGGGGTTTTCAGTGCACTAAACTTTGTATTGGTGCCATCGTCATTATAACTCAAAGGTGGATTGAAGATAGGAATGCAATTCATCTCTGTCAAGGATGGATGTAATGAGAATTGGGGTGTGCTGCCGCACATTGTATCTTTGTGGTCCTGATACTGCTGGACGCGGTTCTATATAGCTGTAAAGTTAATCAAATAGATGCTTGCACCTTGAGGGAAGTTGTTTGTGGTCTTCTTAGTGTCACGATGGGGCGAATTAATCCAGAAACAGCTGGGCTTGAAGGGGTCACCATCCTGATGCTAGATGGGGAGGTTGGAATGGTACCACGAGGCGCCATACTCCTTGGGGACGTCTCCAAAGAAGCCCCAGAACTCCCTGCTTGGCGGGGTGACATAGATGTAGGCAATGCAGAGGGAGTCTTCGCAACCACCAGACACGCTGAGGTAGGACGGAGGATGGTTGTTTCCCCCCTTTATAGGGTCCACAACGATGTCTTTGTAGTTGCCGTCGCCGATTTTGCCTTGACGTGTACCACTTTTGAAGCCGATCCGGTTCCCATTCTCATCAAATAGCCCAATGCCCGGAGTATTGCCGCCAGTACTCGCGGAACTGCCTTCTCCGGGCATTGACAGGCCGGCGGCTACGCGGACAATTGTGGAGGCTGCGTGAGGGTTTGGGAACATCTCTTTCGCCATGGGAATCATGGTCAGGCCTGTTAAAAGGAAGGCAATTGCGTTTCCTGCCATTGCTGCTGTCTTGGTAGATGCGTCGAGAAGATGAAACTTAGACTGCTAATGATCTGGTTGAAACACAATGGCATGAGCAGCAAGCTGTGATTTATATAGCCGGTGTATTCGGCCTCTTCCATTAAACAGCACCTACACCGAGTCGGGGGCATCCTAGCATCCTTTGCTGGCCCCTAGCGTACTCAAAAGGCCCCATTATCCTCATATTCGTACCAGTCAAGAAATCGCCCACTGGCTAGTGAAATATTTGTCAGCTATGTTAAAGCTTATCTTGTGTTTCATCCTGTCGACCGTTCATCCGAGGCCTGATAAAAGGTACAGTATGAATATATTTATATATATATATGTGTATATCTGAAGGTTTATAGGTAAGAATCTATATTTATTCATCTTAGTTATCTATCATTTAATGAAGCTATTTAAAATCTCATGAGTTCTGCCTTACTGACTATGTCAGCTCCCTCTCTGCCTTGGCGTCTTGGCGCCTTGATCAATTTCTGTCAACAAGGCCCAGCATGAGCACTAATTATTTGGCTTTACTCACTTATGCAGGGGCCAATCCTCAGGGGCCAATATCACAGTAACAGGTTCTGCCTTGGCTCTCCCAGAAGCTGGAATGCCTTCCAGTGGGATTTTAGCAGGTATCGTTAGAAGAGATGAGGGTTTGATTCGTCATTTTCTCTTAGAATTTTCGACCATGTGGTTTAGAGATAGCTACATTTACGGGGCAACCTTCATTCTTGTAAGTAGTTTAGAAAAAATTGCTTCAGGTGTATCGTACTACAGGAATGTCGGTTAACTACAATGTATACTTCCAAGTTAGTTTGGCCCAGAAGTTCAGTTATGGGGCTAGCACCACACTCAGTACGAGGCTTAGAGCCCAATGCGGCCCCCGCTGAGCACCCTGTCTAGAAAGCGAAATTTACACCAGCTCTAGTAAGGATATTTCTTTTGTGCTCAAAAGCTATCCGCTCTGTAACAATGGGGCAATTTGATGACCTGGTATGGGAAACCTTGGGGTAGGAATCAGGAAATCTGCCTTAGACTTCGATTGCACAATAATTGGGTATTTTTTATAGGCTCAAGAATCAGGTCACAGTCAAAATGGATGTGTATATTGATAGTTTCTAAGTATTACTATGGTTATATCGAAATCCATTCTAAGGTATATACATGTTAATACGGAAGGTGTAATGAGTAGACACTGGGCCGCCTACTTACCACTGAGGCAAAAGACCTAAAATGATTTGACCCTATGTCAAATCATGGCCCAGTTACTATATATATATCTAGATAGCCTAACAGAAGGTCTCCTCAGTTGTTGCCTACCTCCCGTGGATAACTGCCCCATTTTTACTGAACCTTCGGTTCGGCCCGCTCCGCAAGGGGGCTTCTGGACTGACGATGTATCGTTCTTTGATGCTTTCTGGGTTCAATCATATCCGTATGAATTTCGACGGCTGAAAGAAGTAAGATCGATACTGAGAATAATTCTGAACCCCAGAGTCGCTCAATCCCTCCAATGATTCAAACTTGACATATTCCAGCAGCTACCCGGCTTCACGTTGGAGAAAAGAAAAAAAAATAGTCTTTTTACTAGTGTATGGGGGTGATATTTGTTAGTGATCCACATCCGTGTCCAAAATGCTTTTGTAGCCAGCCGCGAAATGTAGCAACATCCCACAACTCCCTCATATATAGCAAGTAGGTAGAATCTGAGACTTGAACTCAATAGTTTCTTAGATCCACCTGCTGCACGATGAAACCAACAGCCCCATCGGCTGGCTCGGTGATTAGGTCTAGTAAGTCTGCCTTACCTCGCCTCCATAGCAAATCCTGGTATGTCGTTTACTCTGCAAACACTGAATTCATAATCAAACGAAGTCATTGTTGGGTTTCTCCCATAACGATCCCCATGTCATCGCAAGGGTATTATTTTACGGGGCTGATTTGAGTCACCAGATGTAACAACAAATTGGGGCTGATCCCAACAGCTAGCAGCTTAATGGCCACAGCACCGAAGGAGAAATGACACAACAACATCAACAAAATGCCCGACTAAGTACTACACTGGGTATTTCTGCCTATAAAAGGCATTGATTTTGTGCTCCTGTTCCATCTCTTTGAATTAAGCACTTCCTAAACAACCTATAAACGAGCATCCAAGCCTAAAATTACAACCTTGGAATTGAAGGTAGAACCATGCATTTTCAGTGGCTACAATGTATCTTGTTGGCTGCCATTCTAGGCAGCCCCCTGGAAGCCTCTGCTAGAGCAACTATGATTTGGACGATCCATTGTACTGAATGCACATGTGACATGCTAATCAGCTATAGTCCGCAAGAGTTTGCAATCTGCAGATGACGCTTCCTCTACGAGCAATCTGCTTCGAAGAATTAAAATCCCTGGAGTCAAAATCCCAGGAGCCGAAGTTCCTGAAGTCGCACTTCCAAAACTCTCGAATGCTGGAAGCACCGCTGGAAATATTCCTCATTTCACACCAGAGCCCAACGACAGCAAACCAGCTTCCAGCAATTCGAATGCAGAGCAGAAACCATGCAAGCGGGCCGACTCCGCCGACTGTGCTCCGCCAAGCCCAGGATCTCAGGACCTCCTGCTACGTACCATTGCGGAGCCGACCTTTCTAAATTATAAAGATTATATGAAGCCACTAGGAAACGATGGGAGAACGTTTGTTGGCGAACTACCCTGGAAGCCAGATAATGATGCTATCCTTGAGCGCCCTCCGCGCGGCCCTACCGGCGCGCAGGAGTTCGAGGACAACCTAAAAAGCGTCACACGAAAATTATGGGAAAATCTTCCAGAGTCAGCCAATAAGGATGCCAACCTTGTTGCTACTCTGTTTGTACCTGGGAAGGGGGTCTGGTTTTCATCCATCCCGCATGGTGCTGGTGATACGCTAATATTTAATGACAAAGTCACCGCGCCGGCATGGTACGCCCGATCAGAACAGGAGTATGATGGGATCCCTGGAGGTAGGAGATTGGGGGACATGCATGCAGAAGACGGCGCCATCTATCAGTTCGAGAAATCGCAAGGACACAGCCAGAGTCTCAGTGCGCAGCAAGCCCAAAACTGGAAATTTCCCCTTGGCACGAGATTGGCCGTGTATGGAAAATATAGCCGTGTGAATCCAAAGAGCTTCAAGGGGCCATGCCAGGGGGTTGACTCACCCCGACAGCCTGGTTGCTTGCAATTGATTTCCCGGCTCGGCATAAGGCAAATTACACTTTAACCTCGGAAACGAAAGCGTAAAGGGATATTTTTTGAGTATGTCGAGGAAATATCTCTTGCTTTCTACATTGACAGGGACGTTCTTGTTTCTTTGGTTCTAGTTTTGTCTATGGTCATGTTGTTCAGTAGTCTTAGAGACCGTAAGCTTCCAGGCTTTAGGTATCAGGAAATCGCACATTTGATACTCGATAGCGCTCTATCTATCTAGATACCTAGGGAGATATTTCTTCTTTCATCAATGTCGGAAGGTATCTCCTGACTGATCTGATTTGGAACCACTTGGGCAGACTTGTAAATGGTTCGAATTCCTGGACATATTTTTGCGTGTAAGAGCATACGCTACCCCGATACCAGACTCCCCCATCAAGTACATGTCGCACTTGTATTGGAGCATGGTTCTAGTGGCAAAGGACACTTCTACCCTGGTGAAAAATTATTCTTATCCGTTTCCGATTTTTTCGATAGCCATGGTTTCTCTCTTTGGCATTAGTTTGGATTCACTGGATTCACTGGGGGCATCAATCCTCATCGTACGTTTTTTAGCGGTATATCTTTGATTCAAACCTCTAGCCAGTTCCTGTAATACCAATTGCAAATTCTTAGAACCATGGCGTCTGGTATTAAAACCGGATATTCTGAAATAATATTTCATGGCTAGAACGAAATCTTCACAAAGTAGTCAAGTACACATTGAAGTATCTGGATAGTGTGATGCACTTCGCAATAGGATGAGTTCTCTCACTCGAATCTATGCCCTTCCTAGCACCTTATAGGTTGTAAGCGCAATCAGACACAAACAAAGTATGATTGTTTTCCCACAACTCAGAGTCCCACACCGAACTATCATTAGGTTTGAGAAACCCGTGTTCCTTCATTTGAGACACCAGGATGTCGTTGAATAGAACTTTTTCATCTGTCTCATCTCCAGCCCACTGGGCCTGAATCCCCGCCCTCAATGAGGTCGAAAGAGCGTTTCTCTGGTCAACGCGAATTTGCTTCTTGCTCAGAACAGCTCTTGTTTCAGCTGGGGTGTTTGGATGGCACTTTATCATACATTTCCCATCGGAATCCCAGAGCCCACCATGGGACCCCTGCACATGTTTCACCCAGTCATCTAAGGCAGGGAACTTGGAATTACATCCGACATCTGGGCATTCCATTCCAAAAGCGTTACTGGAATAATATCCGTACGTCTGAAATGTCAGCCAATCCATCGCCCTCTTCTCACGGAATGCGGCTGATCGAACTCGCTGCATGGATAGCAGATCACGCAGCATCCCCGCGGGAACTTTTCTCCGAGGCAGATAAACTCGCATGGGTGTCCAAACTTCTTTGACGAGGTGCCAACAAGGTCCTGCTTCAAGTCGCCACAGTCTAAACTGCATTGCATTTTCGCGAGGCCCACTCTGTAGCGCAACGAGAGCGGTGATATTTGGTGGTGCTCGTTCCATTAATGTAGAAATTAAGGAATATTCGTAATCATATTCCCCAGGAGAAGGAGGCATGCATGATCGCAGAGAATGGCCACTTAGGACTACCTTTCGTACTAGGGGGTAGATTTCCCGTAGCTTATCCCAAAATGCATCGCCATTATGAAACATGATCTCCATTTGGACCCAGTACATAGGGATTTCCACCTGGGTTATGTAAGAGGTGAACTCAGGGCAATCATAGGTGGGGTAGAATGGCTTCATGAATATATTTGAACCCTGCTCAGAGCGATACCAGAGGTTGTCCTCGGGCTCCCAGAAGAGCTTGAGACATTCACGTCGAGCGTATGAGCACGTGTGCAAGAGATGAAAGAGCGTTGGTGTATCACAATGTTGAAAGATTAGCTGGCGAATCTCTAGCGGCAAGTCTGTGAAACGATGGAATGATTCAGTGGCTGGTGTGGACTGCTCCGGATAGACAAAGTTGTGGAAGTGAGTTATTGGCAAACTGTCTAGCCCCAGGCCCAATTTGAGATCCGTCATACCGATCGGTAGTTTGTGGGCCCACGGTGAAGGCATGAGATGCTCAGGGATGCATGTTTGAGGGTTGGGATATGATGATAGAATAGAAAGAAGTGATGAGACCGCGGGTGACTTGACAAGACTATTTATGGGTTGGAGGGAAATCAACTATCAAGGAGATAGGGTCCAGCTTACAATAACCCAGAATCCAATATAATTGGGCAGTCTGTATACCGCCTCCTTTTCCACCCATATCTCATGGGAGAAGCTGCTGCCACTCAAGAAAACAGGCCATACAGCATACATCCTAGGACTTACCTCAGTGGACTCAGATGCTCACAAATTATAAAGCCACTGTGATTAGAATCTTATATAGAAAGAAATTTTTTTAAAGAAATTAAAGAATTAGATAATAGACAGCTAGTACTCTCGCTTGAGTTTTCTTATAAAGGATAGGATCAGTCTAGAATTAGTACTTATTAATATAAGCTAGAGATATAGAAATAGATACTATAAGGAGAATTTAGAGATAAAGGCTAAGGTTTAGATTCTGTAATAGAAGACTTAGAAGTTAAGTATATTAAAGCTAATTAAGATAGCAGAACTAGGATAAGGAGAAGGTTGCTAAAAGATTCCTGGGGGAGGTGGTGGATAAGGTATCATATAGCTACTTAATTAGGCTAGGTAAAAAAGAGGGGCGCCTTGGTTTAGACATAGAGGGGAGCTATTTTTAGTATTATTTTTATAGGTTCCTATATTCTAGATGTAATTCCAGGACCTGTGAATTTCCTATTCTAGTTAGTTTTACTACTCTTAGACTAGTTACTTAACACACTATATTATTAATACTGCCTGTCACCTCCTCTAAATATATAAGAACCTCCTAGTCCTACCCTCTGATCCTTCTACTTTACCTACTTCCCTTCTTTTCCCTTAATCCCCCCTCCTATATTCTCTACTTACCTAATCATGCCCCCTAGTCTCATCTACTCTAAAAATAAAAAATCTTACTGCCTTCTTCACTACCCTACCTCCCTCCTTTTCCTTATTAGAATTTATAGCTGCACCCTTATTCCCCCTTACCTCTACTTTTAGAGTCCTGGAAAGGCACCTCTTCAGCTCTGACTAGCTATTTAGGTGAATTAGATTTTCTCTCTTCTATTTTTTTACCTTTTATCTAGTGGTTATTTTCCTGTCCTTTAGCCTATACTATTAGAAAATACATTACGTATTTATATATGATCTTATTTTATCTACTAGTTTTTAAAGGTACCTATCTACCATCTATACTTCCCTAATTCAAGGACTAAAGAGACTAATACTTAAACAGGCTGTAAGGCTAATTATATATTATAGCTTATACTTATTCCTTCTTCCCCTTACCCTCACACTATCTTATCCTTTTCTAGTGGTCACCTATCCCTACATCTCTGTCTTTACCCTAGTCTATATTAATCCTGAGTATCCTGCTATATGATTAGATTAGTTAGGATACTAATGAAATTATGCCTTAAAGAATTATATCTAATAGCATAAATACCTTATTTATAGCTCTAGCCAGCTATTTAGCACTATCACTATTACTATTACTACCATTACTATTACTATTTATATTTCTGCAGTATCTTACTTACTAATTTTATAGCTAATTAGTCCTTTATCTCTAATTATCTAGTCTACTGCGCCCTATTATTAGTTAAATATAGAAAGGTTGTAGTGCTACTTATTAAAGCCTAGCTATATTTCTTAATAATATAATACTTAGTAGAGTTTAAGCTGTGCTTATACTTATGTTAGTAATTAATTATCTTTTACTATAGACTTAACTACTATTAAACCCCAGGTTGAACTACAGATATATAAGGGGCCTTTATTTCCTAGTAGTAGTATGCTCTATTATTTTAAGCTAGTAAATATAGAAGTTCTTAAGACATTATGATTAAAGAAATGACAAGCTCCTTTAATATAATTATTTTATCTAATAATAAGGAATTAAGCTTAGGATCTTAAAGGAGCACTTCTTATAATTATAGTGAACTATCTTTTAGTAGTATACCTAATAAAGCTAACCATAAGTTATCTAAAGCACCATCATATAAATGAAATTACCAAGGGTAAGGTAGTATCACCAGGGGTGAAGAGAGATAGGCTGGGCTAATGCCTCTTCACTTACCTAGGGTAAGATCTTTTATTTATACCTAGTTAGTGGCTATCTATCTAAAAGATAAGTCATAGATATTATAGAGATTTCTTAGGTTAACCTTAGTAACCTAGAGTTAATCTTAATAATTATTAATCTACTTATAATATTTATTCACTAATATCACATCCTCCCCTACTTAAGATAAAGCCTATCCTTAGTAGATTATCTAGCTCCTCACTAAAAGGTCCTTATAGTCTAAGGGAGTGATATTATATATAGTAAGTAGGATTAGATTTATACTTAGTAAGTAATATTAGATTATGCTTAGTAAGTAGTATTAGATTATACTTAGTAAGTAGTATTAGATTATACTTAGTAAGTAGTATTAGATTGCTTAGAGGGTAGTATTAGATTACTTAGTAAGTAGACTTACTAGTATAGTTATTATAGTAGAGATAAGATAAGATTATATTTTATTTATTTTAATTTTAAGTAACTCTACTTTACTTTACTTATTTTCTTTTTACCTCTTATATTTCTCCTTCTCTTCTTCTTTTCTTCCCTATAAGTATCTTTCTTTTTATTATATTAATTACTATTTTCTTTTAGTAATCCTCTTTCTTTATATACTAATCTCTTATATTCTTCTTATACTTAGTAAATATAAGTACCCTATAAAAGAAAGATAAAGGCTACCTTATCTATTAAAAGAATATAGTTACTTTTAGTAAGTTTAGTAAGTATCCTTCCTAGCTTTAGTAATTATCTCTTACTAGTGGTAGAAGCTTATCTTAATAGACCTAATAAAAGTATATTAAAGGTAATAGATATTATTTACCTAATTACCTAGAAGTTTAATAAGAAGGGGAAGCTAGATATAAAGGAATATACTTACTTAGGCTATATATTAGCTATTATTTCCTAGTAGTAAGATACATCTTATAACTATATATTAGCTTATAGTAATTATTTTTTTAGGTAAGGATCCCTTTAGGGGATATATCTCTACTCTTAGTTATAATAGATTTATATTCTTTTAGGGGTCCTATGCTAACTATACTTAGAGTAATTAAAGATTAGTATATTCTATATATAGGGCCTTTATATATAGGATTCTAATACTCTTAATAAGTATATATTCTCCTTAGTAAATATTTCTTATCTATAATTACTAATCTTTTTTACTCTTATAGACTTATTATTTAAGCTAGTAGTCTTAGTTTCCTTACTAGTTATAGTAATAAGTTATATAATTAGCCTATTAAGCTAGTAGTAGTAACTAATAATTATAATAAGAAGTTAGATAATAGTGCTAGGGAAGGTTCTCTAGATAATAATAAATATATATAATTTAGTATAGAAGATAATATTAATTCTCCTATAATAAAGATAGGTCCTTTTAGTATTTCTTATAATAAAGGCTCTTTTTCTATAGTAAAGATAGGTCCTTCTAGTATTTTTTATAATAAAGACTCTTCTTCTATAGTAAAGAAGGCTCTAGCTAAGAAGTATTATCTTTTTTTAAAGTATTCTATAATAGTAGTAATTAGTCTAGCTAAGAGATATTATTCTACTATAATAACTTCCTCTTATTCTTAAGTTAGTTCTTTTTTAGTAACTTTCTCTTTTATTTAAAGTAGTTTAGTTAGGTTAACTTCCTCTCTCTCTTAGATTAGTTCTACTATAGTAACTCCTTCTTATACTTTAGTAAGTATCTTATTAGTAGCCCTAATAGAGAGTCTTATTAAGTATTATTCTTCTTTATTATTACTTAATTATAAAAATTCTTTTAATAGAGTTTATATTCTCTAGCTAGTAAGTTATATTAACTAGGGTAATTAATATAATCTTTCTATAGTTTTTTAGGATCTTTAGGTATTTATTTATTATATTAAGGCTTACCTAGAGGAATTAGCACCTCCTCCTAGTAATAATAATAATTTATTCTAATTAGCTAAGGCCTTATCTTATAGGGTTCTTAATATAAAGTTTAACTTAGACTTTTAATTAGTAATTATTTATTACTTTAGTTAATTAGTATAATTCTTAATATCTTATTATAATTAGTTTTTTTTTATAATTAATAAAATCTACTAGTCTATAATTCCTTTTCTTCTTCTTAGGAAAGTAATTCTAGTATAGTATTATTTTCTAATCTATCTATATAAATATATTATCTTTATACTACTCTATTTACTCCTGATAAGAGGATATTATAACTATAAATAATTCTTTAAAATCTATCTCTTTAATATTCTTTTAAGATATTAATTCTAAATTATTACTTTAAATTCCCTCTTAGTTCTTATTATCTAAAATAGTTAAGTCTTTACTACTCTATAGCTTTAGTAACTCT